AACCAGTACCTGAAATAGTGTTTGACATCCTCTATCGCCTCTTTGAGTTTTTCCTGTTCAGTTTGGCCCGAGATCTGAGTGTTAAATTGTCTCAGGAGCGCCAGAGAATATTGCTTGTTGTAGTAGATGTTACTCTCCACTTGTCTGTAGATCTCCTCTGCTTCTCCGTAGCGTGTATGTCCTGCGTTAGGCTCCTCTGTGTTTGCGTGCTCGACGAAAGCTGCGTGCTCGGTGAAAGCTGCATGTCTGGGTCTCGCCACGTCTAAAGGGAAATGTAAAAGAAGCCATTCAGTTTGATTATCATTTTAGAGAATAGGACTGATTATGATTTTTGAAGGTTCTCTTCGTATACATCATTGTAATAACTCATTATATCTTCATGAAAAAAGAGTGAATGGGGAAGTACAAATCGGAGAGTGAGAGATGCAGAAGAATAAGCTTCCAATAAAACTAACCTGAATATCGAGTTGTTTCCGAAAAGCTTTTTAGTTGTGGCGAAATATATGGTCTGTAATATTTAAAAAAAAGGAATATTACTGTATGCTTACTTTAATACTGGTATCTATCTATCTTCATTACAGGTCAAAGAGAAGGCCCTTTTTAGTGCGACGGAGGCTGGCTGAATGTGTGTGATCATGCTGAAGGGCGACCAGTGGAATGAGATGTTTTGCGCAGTGCAAAAAAATATCTGTCAGTACGGCGAAGACAGAAAACAGTAAAAAAGGAACGGATTCCCTGCTGTTAAGGCGGTTCAAAGTCGCTAGCAAGATTAGGAATATCTCGTTGTTTTGAATTAAAAGCGGGATCATACTATGAAAGATTAGAAAGACAAGTGAAATAATCACGGTGTGAAATAGGATGCGTCATGTGAACATGCATAATTACTATACCTTTTTAACTGTGCATTAAAGTCAGTCTATATGGATAAAATCTGCGGTCAACCATGACGGTTGCTGAAACATGGTAAGAATTTCCAACGTGTTCGAGTTATGTAATGTGGTACTGACTCTTCAAAATCATGCTGCACCACTGCGATTGTAACCTTGGCGATGGTCATCACTTCCAGGGAGTAGCCATAGCCATCTCCAGCCGACTTGAACCCTCGGTAGTTGATGAGAATATTATGGCATTGAGACTGAAGCATGCTTTTGGCTTTGTGTATCTTATTGCTGTGTACGCTCCTACCGATGTTTGCAAACTCGATGTGAAAGAAGCGTTCTACGTCAAACTCACATGGCAGACAATTGCCCCCAGTGAGACATTCGCATTGTTCTGGGCAACTTCAATGCGGTATCCAGCCATGATCGAGCTTGCTACGAGATGTCTGTCGAGCCCCATGGGTCGGGAGCTGATCCCAGCAGCCTTTTTCTAAGGGACTTTGCTAGGTCCCAGAGATTTAGGATTTCTGGCTCCTGGACATGGTATATCGATACATGTACTGTGGCCAAGGAGATCGGCCACATTCTTGTCAGCACTCAATGGAGGATCCTTCAGAACTGCAGGGTTACCGGACTGCCGAGATCTGTGGCACTGACCATAGGCTGGTTGTGGCTAGCCTAAAGGTCCACTTCAAAACTCCTCATCCCTCTAGTCTAAGGTGTTTCACTGAGGGAGGAGGAGTGTGCTCGTGGGTTCGCCATAGTAGTCTTTGATCGATTCACAGAACTTGAAAACCAGTTGCTCTATGAGAGTCCTTCAAGCATGAGACACTTGAAGCAGCACAGGAGTCCACTGGCGTATGCCTACGGGCAAGACAAAATTTCACCTCCCTGGAGACATTGGAAGCGTGTCGCATGGCTCGGCTGAATGGCAATCAGGACTTGCATTGCTCTTTGGTGCATAGGGATCAGACACTGCTAAGAAGGGACAAGGAACAGTTCTTCACGAATCTTGCTGAGGAAGTTGAAGCCCATTTCTTGGTAAATGTCCTTTGCCCTGCCTACCAAGCCCTGAGAAAACTGAACTCTAAGCCCTCCTTGCAAATGACTGCAGTCCACTCATTGGATAGACAGATCATCTCAGATCATGTTGGGGTTCATGAATGTTGGGCTGAGTATTTTGAGCAGTTGTACCAGGTAGACCTTCCAACAATTAGCTTGGATACAAGTATTATCACAATATCTGTGCCAGACCCACCCATCAGCGAGGAACCTACATTCCCTAACTAACCTACATATATGGCGATTTGTAAGCTGAAGAGTTGGAAAGCCGCAGGCACATGTGATATCCCTGCTAAATTGCTAAAGGCTGGGAATTCCGACACAGATTATTGGCCTAATAGCAACCCTATATACTGGTACTGAAAGTGCTGTAAAGTGTGGTGGGATTCTATCGAACTTCTTCCCTGTTAATTTAGGGGTGAGGTAAGGTTGTGTCCTTGCACCAACACTTTTCAACACCTGCAGTGGACTGGATAATGGGTAGAGATACTATCCAAAGTCAGTGTGGGGCAACACTGGGCAATATTAAGGTCTCAGTCCTAGACTTCTCAATGATGCCG